CAGGGATTTTTGCTGCTGGGAGATGGCTGTCCCGAATCATGCTCCGAATCTGCGATGCATGAGCGATTAAACGTGAAGCAACCATCTTGAACTGTACAAATAGCAAAGAGGTGGGGGCACCGTACTCGCTTGACGACAACGATGCTCAGGCGAACGCCAGTGATCTGCCTTCTGGCTGCTGTCATGGCTTCGGTGGGTCAAGTGAAGCACAGGGATCTATTTGCAAATGCCCGATGAGACCGCAGGAAACGGTAGCGGCTGTTTCCGAACCAGAAGCTGTAGCTCCTGGTTGAGTGCCCTGCATGCTTCTGTTTAGCAATTGTAGACTTGGGTAAGTCTCAGCCACAGCTGTTGCCAAGCATGCGCGTCAGCCGAATCCGACACACTGCTGGCTGGTCCTGAAGGCCCTCGTCCACCGACACCTTGCCAACGGCCGTGCGCTGCAGGTCCTTGCTCTTCACCACATATGCCTGCACAGCGGCTCATTGTACTGCAATGTAGAAGGTTGAGTATAGGTTCAGCAGACATCACCCACCCGGTGCTACTATGGCTGTGCAACTCGCAGCCATTGCCTTAAATGATAGGGACAACAGCTTCAAAACATCAAAGCGATTCCCCGGTCCGTTGCATATTGCTCGAGTCAGCTGCACTGAAACACCGTTGCTCATCTGCTCGGCGTCAACTCGATGTGCCTGGCAACCCTTAACCTTCTCCGGCCTTGCCCTGATAGGTCACCTCCACCTCGTCGTCCTGAAGCTCACATGAGGCAATTCCGGTGGCCAAAAAGTACGCGGAGCATTGTACTGGAAAGCTGTACGACGGGAACTGCTTATGGATGAGGTCTGCCCAATCAGTACGTGTGGCCCTGCGAGGCAACAGTGTTTCGAGTGCGCACCCTACACCCTTGACCCTTTACAGTCTACAGTTCGCTGTGCTTGATCAAATGCATGCCTCTCTTACCTCTCGCTACATGCTGGACGTTGACGCAAGGCTTCCTGGATCCATGAGCCGTCAAACTGAGCCTCTGAGCCACTAAGAAAGCATGTGCCTTCATGTTCGAGGAAAAGGGGTTGAAGAAGTTTCCA